TATCTTTCTAATGACAGAGATAATGCAGTAATATATATTGATATTACTATTTTTATGCTTTAGATTATACTAGATTCATTAATATCAATTGTCTTAGACAAACTAGGTATTTTTAAAATGGTTATTATAGATGAATAAGTTAATAGTATAAGTTTTTATTATCCTAGTGAAGCGTAGTACTAATTTAATAAGTGGAGCGACGCTTTTCCAATGTTATACAGTCCTCTTCAAAATACCAGACAGATAACCATGTACTTGCACGTGTGTATCTGTCGCGGTCATTTTGATAACTTAGAAAAAGCTGAAACGAAACGGAACAAACTGGGATGATCGACAACCTCAAAATTTTATCTATATAATGGTGGTTTTTGGTCAGAGTTAATTCGGGCCAAAAAATCGACATTTGGCCCTGTATTTTCAAAAAAAATTTTTTTTTTACTATATGTTATTTAATGGTGGTTTTTCAATTTTTTTAATACCATAATTTGGGCCAAAAGATTGATATTCGGCTGCCGTGTCGATCATGTGGTGGTTTTTGAAAACCACCAAACGATCGGTATTCCGGTTTCTTCTAATATATTTAGCAATTTCAAATAAAGCCATAATGGGTAAAGATGTAACTTAAATTAGGTTACAAAATCAAAACAGTAATGTCAAATTATCTATTTTGTAACCAAAAGTATTTTACAAATTGGGTAATTGAAAAATATAAATACACATGTATGTATAATAAAAAATATTAATTTAATTCTTAATATGGAATGTAAAAATTCTTAAGTAGTTTAAAAGATACACATAATCTTATAGTTAAAATATTAAAAGAGGCAAGCAAGATTAGTTTTGTACTTAAAAGTAAAATGCTAGAAGAAAGCCTAAGAATTGTTAACAATGAAGAAGAAATTTATAGCATGATAGATAAAAAATATAGAAACAAATACCTAGAAGAACCTTTACTACAACTATTTATTACAAAGCAACTGATAAATAGAGAAAGTACTATTACAAAGTAAGTTGTAACACAGAGTAATACTAGCGTAGCATAGTATAGAAAATATTCTATTATTGTATTATTTATTATATTATTATATCATAGTATTATAGTTATTATTATATTATTATTATATTATTAG